ACATAATAGTGGGGGATTTGCCATGCAGACAAATCGCGCGTGATTTGAGCCCCGCTTATGTGGTTGTTGAGCATTTCGTCAAGAATCCTGCAGCATGTGGAATCCAGAAGAGCACTGAACCCTTTTCTTCGCGTTTCGGTTGCGATGACCGTAGTGTTATGGAAAAAGCAGCCGATTCTCCTACGGGGTGCTCAGGAACTCAACCTTTGAAGAAAACCTGATTTCTTGAAAGTCACCGTTTGGCGTGTGTTAGAAGAACTCTGAGACCACTCTTCGACGGAAAATGAGTATGGCACAGTTGAAGACACAAAGCCATCCCAAAAATCAAGCCAACTCTTCCATAATGTGTGCATGCTGCGCCAGCTGCATTAAGTTCGGCTTTCTACACGCTACTTTTTACTGTCTGTCTGAATTTCTCTCAGTTTTTTTTCTGCAGTGTGTTTGGCAGAGACAGGAACTCATATTGAAAAAGGAAACCAGTAAGAAAAGTGAAGACAGCCATCAAAAGGTACTGCGCGGCCAATATGGCCTCGCTCCGGCCAGATCGACCACTGATCTTGGGAAACTTGGCTTGATTTTTGCGATGATTCCGGATTTTTAAATGTGTCCTACTCATTTTCCGTTGAACAGTGGTCTCAGAGTTCCTCTAACACACGCCAACGGTGACTTTCAAGAAATTAGGTTTTTTTGAAGGTTGAGTTCCTGAGCACCCCTTGGGAGAATCGGCTGCTTTTCCCATAACACTACGGTCATCGCAACTGAAACGCGAAGAAAAGGGTTCAGTGCTCTTCTGGATTCCACATGCTGCAGGAGTTCTTGACGAAATGCTCAACAACCACATTAAGCGGGGCTCAAATCACGCGCGATTTGTCTGCATGGCAAATCTCCCCACTCTTTTGCAGATTTCGCCTTTTTTTCGGAGTCCGACAGCGGTGTTACTTCCGTCATCACCTAAGAAAGAGGAAGTGGAAACAACCTGACAGTTACGCCAAATAACAATGAAGTTCAACCGAGAAACATGGGGTGGATTTATATTTTTGCACAATCGGCAAAGTGGCCCTTTTCTGAAAAATGAAAATAAAAAATTTTCGTGTTTTCGAAATGGAAGTTGGTGTTTACACTCGAAATTATATTTATATTGAGCACATTTTTCTTTCAAAGGCTTTTTCAGAAACACCCTATCATGCGAATTTTCAAGAACTTTCCAGGTGGATTTATATTTTTGCAACGCAGTGTAGTATAAAACCTCTGTGTACCTCACCCCGGTTGAGCTGAACAAGATGTTTGAGTTGTCGCATAACTACAACGTTTTTTTTTAACATGAGGCATTTTCGGTAGAACAAACACTGTGACGACAAACTAGCGTGAAGCTCGGTCGAGGATTCCTCGTCAGGAAATCCTACTTGTCGTGGTGGGAGGAAGGAGTCGCAGTTGTGACCTTTTGAAAGGTGTTGACTTAGCCATCGTATCACCTTCGTGAACGTGCTTTATTTTATAACAGTAAACCACTTTGAGCGCCGAAAAGTAATAAATGCATTAGTCTTACTGCGAATGTTGATGCAGATTACTGCCACATTGAAGATTAGGTGGAGCCTTTTGTTTATGGCAAGACAAATCTAATAAACTCAAAGTTCTGTAAAAGGAGGTTCCCATTATGATAAAGTCCATAAGCATAAACAAGGAAAAATTAGGACGGATTCAGAATGAATAGGAGTCTCTAGTTTTTTCATTTGTCAATATGAGCAGGGTTGCATGCACTGCTGTTTCGTTTGTTCAACTACACCATCTCGTGAAAAATGAGAGAACAGAAATTATTTTTTATTTATTTATTAGAATTACATTGTTCAAAAAATTAGCATCCGCACGAGTGTTGTGCGATTGGGCTCGAGTAACCTCCCAAGAAAAGTGATAACGTGAGTAAATATGTTTATGGGTAGAATTTGATTATGAGTACCATTTAAGCCCTCGGATTTGTAAGCATAACTCAATTTCATCCATTGTCCAAAGTATACTAACTATAAGGGACAGTGCTACAAAAGATGCAAATGAAGGCTATTGTTACTCGAAATTTTGCGCTCGGATTGACATGGACTTGCTCGCTGCACATTGGCGCTATTGCCCTATTACAACCCCAAGTGAAGGTGAGATGGGTCAAAAAAATTTTTCGCTGAAACTTCTCCTATGGGGGTTATCGAGGCTCCTGATCACGAATATGACATCCATTTTTGGCGCCACAGCCGTTTTCACCGAATTCGCTGTAAACTCGTGCATGGGTTGTTTCGATCCTTTTTACCAGTATAACATTCGTTCACGGCATCCGCGCTGTTTAACGCTTATTTTCTGCCTTCTGGCTCTCTCACCTTTAGCGCCTAAGGCTAAACTCAGTAGAGGGAGCTGAGACTCCGGAAGGGGTAAACCACGCACGGTACGGCAGAAGTTGGTGCATGGGATCACAAAGTGAGTGGCTTTCTCACTTCGGAACCTCCTTTCAACAAAGGCTACAAGGGAGGTCTTTCAGGACATGGAGCGCTTTTTCGAAATGGTTTCTGCATGTTGTAGGGGCTCATGCGAGGAACACAGAACCATGATCCATTTTTCCTGAACGCCTCCAGGAATGTCAAAACAGTGGTGAAGAAATGGTCCAGAGTTCGATCCCCGGTGATGACTAATTTTTGCAATATAGTTTGGCGCCCCCAGATTGCCGCCAAATGGCGCCATCGTCGAGAATAGATGTCATTGTCGTGTTTTGCGGCATTTGGAGGCCCAATATAAATTGTCATCACGGAGGATCGAACTTTGGACCATTTCTTCTCCCCTGTTTTGAGACTCCTAGGCGTTCAGGAAAAATGGACCATGGTTCTGTATTCCTCACATGAGAATCTACAAATACCAGAAACCATTTTGAAAAAACGCTCCATGTCCTGAAAGACCCTCCTTGTTAGTCCTGAGCACGAACTAACCAGTGAGAGGGCGCAGACGAGCAGGAAATAGGCGCCGAATAGCGCCAACGTGAAAACGAATGTCATATTCGTAATCAGGGCCCCAAATAACCCCTGTATACAAGTTTACAGTGAATTTGGTGAGAATCAATCGGTGCCACCTAGCGTTTATAATATTTTTATATAAGGGTTATCGAAGGCCCTAATCTCGAATGTGACATCCATTTTGGCGCTGGCGCTAGGTGGCGCCAAACGGAGACCCCATGGACAAAGTTCAGCTAAAATTCTTTTTTGACACATCTCGTCCCTTTCGGGGCTGCAATAGTGCAATAGAGCCTAATTTATTCAATCGCTTTTGTCATTGTTCTCAAATTTTCTTGTTGCCCTGGC